ATCTTGGTTTGAAATTTGAATCTGAGGAATAGCGAAGACATTTTTTGACAGAAGGTTGGCTGCCCTTTTGCACGATGTGTGCACGAAAAAACATCTGAATGTTCTGGCGGCGTTTTTCCGTCAGCACGGTTGTGTAGTGGGTGGCGACGGCGAGCAACTACGGCAAGGAGCCGCTCGGCACTCTTGACGATACGCATGAGGAAGCCTACACGATTCTGAAAGTGAAGTGAATAAATTAAAATGCATTCAGAAATGAAAAGTAAAATTTTCCATCCTAGTGCCCACCGAATGAATATTTATTACGCACATCCGCCGAAGAAGCATGAGAAAAACTGTAACGAAGTCAAACGATCTTTTGGTTCCTCGGAACCTGGCTGAAGGTCATTCAATTGAAAACAAGAAGAAAAAACGGGCTAAATTCTGATTCGTGAAACAAAAAGCTAGTAGCTTTTCCAAGACTGACAAAACTACAAAAACACCGCAAAGCACGCCGCGCCAGTAGTGCCACGCGCTAAATGCGCCTAAAAAGCTGGCTATACTACGTAACACCTAATACTAAAAAGCGCTAGAACGGGGCGCCTACATACTAAAGAGCGCTAGACAAACATAGCGTCTGAAAAATTGGCAGTTGAAAACGGACGTCAACCTTTAAAACAGGAACCATATGTTCCGAGAGGCGGAATCTGACAATACCTAAACGTCCGCATGAACACATAAAATGGGTCAATTATTGGCTATCCGATTGCGTCATGGACCTGCTTCCCGTTTTATTGACGATAAAACGGTGACGATTGGCCTCAGGGACTAATTACTGAACTCCTCTGATGGAGCGAGGTTTCATTACTGGACGACCGAGAATATAACTGGCGGTGGACCATAGAACCGTGATTGGTCTCTATCCTCGACAATCAATACGCGTTATTGGTGCGGCGTTACTCTGGGAAGGTCAATAACTTTTCTCTCGAAGCACGGAGAAAACTATGGAATATTTGGACTGCATTTTGCAATAAGGAACTATCAGCACTTCAATGCTACTTAGATTTTGCAGCTTCTCAAAGCTAGCCAAAAAAACCCTGAAATTATGGGCAGGTCCTACTTATCTGCACTAATGAAATATCAAATAATTGAGAAAACACTATATCAGTTGATGCACTTCCAGTCAATACCTACATTGTAAACGTAGAAGTTACTCAGAAACTCAGTCCAAGCAGCACTGAAATTCTAACAGTTCCTTCCATGGAGAGTATGTCTAATTTGGACCGCAGGTTTCATCGCGCAATAATTATTTCTCGATAATTTTAATTATTTTTGGTACAGGAATAGAATCTGTTCAAGATTTCAGGCTTTCGTTACTTTTACTTCTACTTTAAATAAGTTGCACAATTTAGGCAGCATTCCCTCTATTTGAGTGTATGTAAAACAATCGATTCCAGGTGAGGCATCACCTAAATTCGATATTTGTAACGAATTTAAGTGACTGATAATAAAGAGTGTTGTCGACTCGCAAAATTCACCCCACCGCACAGAGGAGCAAGTCTTCGGAATAAGTCGGACATAAAATTTCTCACCAAAATAGTAAAAGTGTACGTTTATCTCGCCACAATTTTAATTTTTAGGGGTGCTTCTTCACCGCACAGAGGAGCGAGTCTTCGGAATAAGTCGGACATAAATTTCTCACCAAAATGGTAAAATTGTACCTGTATCTCGCCACAATTATAATTTTTAGGGGTGCTTATTACGGACAATTTTATGAGAAAACCAATAGAACAACTTTTAAAACATCAACATTTCATATCAATGAAGGCATACGCTTTTAAAGTTTTTAAATTATGTCCGACCTCTCTCGTTGACTCGATCCACTGCACCGCCGCGCGCCGGCGAGAAAGCTACCCATCGAGCAACACAGGTTGTTTCCATGCGAGACGAGTTCCGATGAGCGCCCGGTGAAAGAGACACACGGGGAATCGCGAGGAGGGGGGAGTCTGGGGGGAGGGATAAGGGATGCGAGGGTGGCGGAGTAGACATGACCCAGGAACGAAAACGAATCGAAACCGGAGACTGTCCGAGTGGAATCAAGTGCGCAAGAATTCGGGCGGGTGTCACCGGGAACAGGGACCTGGAGGAAGCGGGCGCGGCCGAGGGCGGGGGGGGCGCAGGGGGGCGACGGGAGTAAGGAAGGGCCCTCGTCCCCCTCCCAGCGTCGCGAGCACCCTACAGCGATTTCACGTCGTCTGCCGCACTTGCATGCGATGCAAACTGCACTCCTCCTCCAGGGATGCCGATGTTTCCGCACACAGACACCGCGCACCGTCTCCCGGTGGAAAATTGATCATATCCTCTTTCGCACGGTGGCGTTATCCGACTAGGAATTTGGAGGGAGCGTGGCGTTGGGCGCGTTCTTATTGCGCCTGCAATTTTCGAAGTAGGCTATGGCCTGGCCCTTGGCTGAGTCTACCCAGGGTGGGCTCCAGGCTACTTGCAAGGGTAGCTCTGATCGATGCATTTTCGAAGCGTGAAATGGAGCTCTTGAATATGTCAGGAATTTGCGACTTTCGTAGTGATTCCAATGTAAAATTTCGCGAGAAACACGATGGTGCCACTGCTTTTCTCTGAAATCAACTCCAAAGCTAAAAAAAAGCTCACAAATTTCATGTCCATGCTACCCCCAGAATCCACCACTAAACCAAGACAAACCCTCTATGCAAAGATAGGAAGCAAGTACATAAACAGGGTTGCCACTTTGTTTGTGGGCTCCAAAACAGAGAACAGGGCAACCCTGCTGATGTATTTGCTCCCTATCTTTGCATGGATAGGTTGACTAGACATTGAGGTGGGCGCTCAGGCTAGCGTGGGATATCTCCTCCTTGCGGCCTCAACTTTGAGAGCTTTTATGAGCTTTGGAGTTCGTTTCAGAGGAAACCAGTGGCACCAGCGTTTCTCGCGAAATTAAGCGAGAGTAAAAGTGCTTAAATCGCAAATCCCTCACGCATGCAAGAGCTCCATTTGCCAGCGTGAAAACGATTCTGCAAAGAATCCGCAATTCCGACGGGAATCAAATCAAGACAAGAGAAGGAAAGAACACAGGGTGTAGCCTGGCCTACCTCAAAAAATGAAGGCGAAATAGTAAAGTACACAACTTCCACACCCCCTTCACGCAGATTTCCCATTTTTCAGTCGGCAAACGCCACCACCGCTACGAGGAATCCGCAATCCCAGCGGGTGAGGGAATCCTGCACACGAGCAGGAAAGCACAGAGGAATTTATCTGGCATACCTCGAAATTTGAAGGCAAAATAATAAAAACATTAATTTCGTAGCCCTTGGCGACGAATTCGCGATTTCAAATCAAAAAAAGCCCAGCACGGCGAGGAATCCTTGGAAATCCGCGAAATACCGAATCTGGTACAAGAGAACGGACCTACGGGTTGACTACCTCAAAATTTGAAGGCGAAATAATAAAAAAAACATTAATTTCTTATCCCTGGGCGACGATATCTCAATTTCCGGTTAGAAAAGGCCCCGGACGGCGAGGAATCCGCAATCCGGACCGGAATCTGAGACGAGGGATGGGAAGGGAAGGGGTGAGCTAGGCCCTGGGGTGGTCGAGCTTGCAACAGCGGGAGGCGAGCATGCGCCCCCACTTCCCGGCCGAACCGCAGTCGTTATCTGCGATCATTTTTGCGAGCTTTTGTCTCGATTCCCTCCGTTTCCCAGCGATCCCTTCCGCCCGACGCCCCCACCCTGGACCCGGGACCGTCTCCTCCGCCTCCTCCTCGCACCTCGACTCCCGGCCGGGCCGGGCACAATTAAAAGAGTTCCGACTTGAGAAGTTGCCGGAGCTTTTCCTCTAATCGCTCTCTCCACACCCGATCTCTCATCGCTCCTTCCGATACGGGGACTTCCTTTTATTGCCGCGCCCGCTCCGCCGAGTCTCGCGATTTTATCGCCGACTCGCCAAGTGCCCGTACCCGCCGCGCCGCACACTGGATCCAATCGATACACAATTCCCAGGTGTCGGAAAAATGATGAATTTCGTATTTTAGTCGAAACTACTGGGTGAACTCAACACGAGGATACCCTTGGTTCATGCATTGAACAATTCGTCGCTTGGCTGACCTTATGTCAGCCAAGCGAACGCCTTTGGCGTAACTGCATATTGAGATGAGCCCGGAAAAGCATTGACTTGTATGGAAGACAGGGTTCGTTGCAGAGTGTAGTTACGCCTTTATGTCAGGTAGGCGACGAATTATTGGAGAGGATAAAACAAAATGATCTAATCTGCTGAAATACGTGTGTTGAAATGGGAAATGCCGCCAGATGACGTCAGTAGGCGGTGCATTTTCTCGCTTTCAAATCTATTATTATATTATTTCCCATATCAGAAAAAAATTATGAAAAATACTGTAAAATCAGCTCTTTAAGCACTTTCGATGAAGCAATGCTTTGCATGCAAATTCTCCATTGGAGAGGACGGACATGAAATTTTTGATTAAAACTGCACATTTTGATGTTTATTTCGTCACATTATAAATTTCAAGGAGTGCTCCTGGCACAAAATGTCACGAAGAAACCGATGGAACTACTTCGAGAACCTCAAAGTGTTGTATGAACGGAGTTATAAGCGTTTGAAGTTTCCGAATTTTGTCCGACCTATCCTATCGACTCGATCCGCTGTGCGCCGCGCCACACCGTCCCCCGGTATAAATGCTCGGGCATTAAACGCTGAAACGACACCAAAGAGGCAAATTGCCCCGGTGTAAAATCTTATCCGCGCTCCGGTCGGTAAACACGAAGCTGCCTCGGATTTTCCATCGCTAACCATTCTTTTCGACTTTTATTGCTGCAGAGTCGGGGGGCCTCATGAAAAAATTCGCCGTCTTCATGTTGCTCTACAAATATTGAGGGCGGTGTTCATATTCTTACTATGTTCTTACAACTCTATGTAAAAAATCGATCCATGCGTAAAAGGTACACTGAAGGATGCGGTGAAAATTGTCTTACCTTGGAATCAAAATTGAAAACTAAATCACATCTAATTGGACACTCCAGTCCACATTTACAGGTTCCTTGCGTTTGAAGATAGGTTTTAACTTGTTCTAATGTACTGAGCGCCGTGTTACTGGGACTGAAAACAGATTAAAATAAACATTGAATTAGTAAAAATAAGTGAAATCTAATTATCATACAAAGTAAAATAAATTAGGTGGTTAATTTGAAGAAATTTGACAGGATATTAAAATGTTGGTGTGGGATGATTACAAGAAGGGCGTCAAACTATCCAGGGTTGAGAGGAAGATAGGTGTTCATGTGCACGAACAAAACACGGAGATAAGTTTTGGATCATAATTATGCTACATTTGCGCGATTTACGCTGGCCACGATTTTTTCAGTCGTGCAACGTCATTGGAGGAACATTTCATTAAATCAGAGATACATTGGAACGAGTTAAGAAATCAGAATGAAAAGTAAAAACGACAATACCCCTTCTGTTACTTAGATGCTTTTGTATGACAGTATTCTTTGGGAGTGTGCGAAAGTTTTACTGGTCGTGTAACTTTTTGCGGCCGCAGAAGTGAGTGAGACTAAATCTTCGGATAACGAGGCAAGATTTTTCTCTCTTTTTTTCCAGAAAAGCAAGAAGTCGCAGAGCAATTCTGAGGATACGCGAGTTTTATTTCGAGGTTCGAACCTCCTTAAAAAGGTCTGTCTGATTGTGAGTTGGTCTTATCAACCACCCCTAATCAACCGACCTAAAAATTTCCGATGGATCGAATCTTTATTAAGATCACCTAACAAGGTGCTACCAAAATCACGCATCAGCGTTGAATTCGGCGGTCGCCGAATCGAAATTCCGAACTCGAATAAAACGCAGCGAGGTTCCATCGCGAAAGTAGTTACGAGCCAAGAAATGAAATTCGCTTCATGTCGAGTTGAATCAGTCGACATCACATACAATTACGAAAATGATGGCCATTATTGTTGTTGCTATGAAAGCGCAAGAGTTCTACGAAATTCGATTGCGCTCGGTCTGTGAAAGAAACACGTCAGTCGGATGACGTAAGTATTCGATGGCACGGGTGGAAACGGAGAGTAGTTGATGTCAGTAAAGAGACGGGACAAAAAGGCTGGCAACTCACTGCGTCAATAGCTGTTCAAAAAGATGTCATCAAGTATCAGGTCATGAGACTATCGTCGTAAATAGTCTGTTCCACCCAAACCCGGGATCTACGATTCCCTGAGACCCCACCTTCGACTACACTGTAGAAAAAAATCACTCAGATTCAGGATCAATACAGAACCGCAAAAGCGCTAATTTATGACCATTCCTGGATAATTTGGTTTGATATTGGAATCTGAAGATCGGCAGTGACATTTTTTTTGTGAGGAGGTTTGCTGCCCTTTTGGACCCTAAGAGCTCCATATTTTGAAATGTCCGTGCCCTCTCTATGTACAGGGTGTCTACTAAAACAGGCTGGCCAAAAATCAGTACTTTTACAGTACTTTTCTAGTCCATTTTCAAGAAATTCAGTACCTCCTCATAAGAGAAATTCAGTACTTTTTCAGTACTTCCAACAGACGAAATCCGAAAATTTTTAATTTCTCGCTCGGATTGCGACAAAAATGACAAAAATTCCGGACCTTCTCGCGAAATTCCGCACTTTTTCAGTACTTCCGGGCCGCCCTTAGAAAATCAGTACTATGTCCGGACTTTTCGGACTTGTAGACACCCTGATATAGGTACTCTGGCACGGGATATCTCCTCCATTACGGCCTCAACTTCGAGAGCTTTTTATGAGTTCTTGAGTTTGTTTTAGAGAAATCCAGTCCAGTGCTTCTTCTGACACACGCAAGAGTTCCACTGAATCAGCTCCTTGAGAAAAAGCGTTACTGACACAGGATTTCAAAAGTGGCGATGGCTGTAACGAACTATTTCGCTTTTTGTAACTCGTCAAGGTGATATCTCCTTCGTTTGCATAAACAAAAAATAGAATCTCCCGAAGGACCTCGGTAACTAATCGGAGGCGCCTCGCGTGTCTCAATTTAACAACTTCAACTTCGTTAGATGCTTATATTTAGCATGAACAAATGAGTATGAGAGGAAAACATGCGCTTCCTACAGGAGACAGAGAAGGACGACCCTCTCTAAACGGTGGCGTGTCGTGCTTCGCGATGAATTGGTTGATCTACCATTTAATCCTATGGAAAAGGATCGATTATATCGGGGTGTTCGTGCCAACACCTGCAGCTACTATGGCTTCAAAATATCGGGACAATATCCATAGCCGATGATCGCCACTGTTTTGGCATCACGGTGGCGATTCTTGCAAGTTGGCAACACTGTCTTTCATCCCTTTAAATGTATGTTAATCAATCGATAATGGGTGAGACCGCCTGCCTCAACTAGAATCGATATATTCAATGGATTTAGATGGAGCATCAGCAACGTTGCCAACTTGCTGAGATCGTCACTAACGCGTTGTGAGGAGTTAATGTAGTGGGTGTGGACGACCTATCTCCTCCATCTCTCACAGTGATTTCTCACTGCTGCTGTGGAGGTCGAGGATACACCTCTGCCAAGAAGATGTTTTGATTCGTCTCTTCTTTCAAAAAAAAAAGAAAGAAAGAAAGAACAAAGATTTGCTACGGAGATATGCATTATTACATTATACGCTGCCACTGAAGACTGGAGTTGGGTTAGCTTAGGTCACGCAACTAAATCAACTTCGCGGCAATGCGGGAAGTATCGCGTGGAATTGAAGGCGCGCGTCGGACCACTACTCGTAAGTCGCGCATATTTCCTCGGCTGTTAACATTAGCTATCGATCCGCTGAAGCCGCAGCCGCGGATATATTGGGTGATATTGACTTGATAACGCTTGAAGACTTAGGATTTTCGCTCTTGATTGGAAATCGAGGAAGAAATCAGTAACGTAGCAAAATATGTTCGGTATCTAGATGTTTGTTCGCTTCCGGTATTGATTCAAATCTGTAGCAAAGGCACGGAGCTACCACTGAAGACTGGAGTTGGGTTAGCTTAGGTCACGCAACTAAATCAACTTCGCGGCAATGCGGGAAGTGTCGCGTGGAATTGAAGGCGCGTGTCGGACCACTACTCGCAAGTCGCGCGGATTTCCTCAGCTGTTAACATTGGCTGTCGATCCGCTGAGGCCGCAGCCGCGGATATATTGGGTGATATTGACTTGAAATACGCTTGAAGACTTAGGATTTTCGCTCTTGATTGGAAATCGAGAAAGAAATCAGTAACGTAGCAGAATATGTTCGGTATCTACATGTTTGTTCGCTTCCGGTATTGATTCAAATCTGTAGCAAAGGCACGAAGCTACCACTGAAGACTGGAGTTGGGTTAGCTTAGGTTACGCAACCAAATTAACTTCGCGCGGCAATGCGGGAAGTGTCGCATGGAAATGAAGGCGCGTCTCGTACCACTACTAGCAAGTCGCGCAACTTTCCTCAGCAGCTGCGATTATAACGGAGGGTTTCAAGTTTCTCTCCTTTTCTCTTTGAATAATCTGAGTGGTCAGTAAGCTAAAACAGCAAAATTCATCTTATTTGAGTAGAAACGAGGCCCTTTGAGATGCAAGTAAGTTTGAAAAAATGTGACAGCGTTTCAGACGAAACAGCGGTAAGCCCACAGCATTCCGCTAGAGCCCTATTTACTGCTACAGAAAAATTCAGTACTGTTTCAGTAAGGTACCTCCATTTGACGAGGTTCGAAAAACTTCAAAAGTTTGAATTTCTCGCTCAAATTGTGACAAAAATGATAAAAAAATGAAAACGATTCCGGAGCTTCTAGCAGAATTTCCGCACTTTTTCGGTACTTTCAGACCGCCCTTGAAAAATCGGTGCTATTTCCGGACTTGTAAACACCCTGCATTACAACTCTAAGTGCTCTATAGGCCTGAACTGTATAGTAAACGCGATGCAACGTTGGGGCGAGCTTCGAGCAGCGACAGGCGCGAAAAAGGAGGCCCGCGCTGAGCCTCGAAGAATCGCACGCAAATTCTGCCGCGCTAAGGAAGAACGCCGTATGAACATTCGGGAGTTGCCAAATTTCCCTTGATAAAACATGTATTTTTGACGACATTCTTGGATATATTTCCATGAAATTTTCAGATATTTTAGATTATATTGCGCAAAAAACTATCTGAAAATTTTGGGGGAAAATATTCCCAATCTTCCCAATAAATTAGGTTTTCATCGAAGGAAACTTGGCAACGTCTGAAGGCTCATACGGCGTTCTTTCATAGCACGCAAATTGAACGACGGGCAGGGGCGCCGGAGGAGGCGCTGGGGTACGTTGAGGCCGAGGGAAAGGCGACAGCGATGGACCCGAGGAGTTGTGAACTTACGCCGTCGTGATCCGAGTTAGGGTCAAATCGTGACCAACATAACTATTGATCCGTCGTCGTCGTCATCGACCGACACTCCACCACTCAACCAGTTCAACATTCACCGACGCCTCGGCTTCGGCTAACGACTCTCCGGCTTCGCTTACCAGCATGAGCCCTGATTCCACATCGGTGTGGTCACGGAACCAGTTTCACGCTGCGCTCTTCATACCTAACTCCATCATCGATTTTCAGCTTTGATGCCATTTTAGTCCACAAAAAAAGTTAGTGGTTACTAGATACATACATAAAAGCCGCTCTCGCAGCGCTCTGCAACGTCTCACCGCCCTGTTCCCCTATCCTCCCCCTAGCCCTTCAGGAAATTGGCACTCACTCATTTTCCTCTAAAACCCCGTGTCGCTACCCTTTTACAGGGCGTCCTCTTCATCTCCTCCCAGGAGGCACCCGATCGAGCATCTTATTCGGCAGCTTTTCTTTCGTCGTCCTGTCAACATGAGCATACCATACAAGCTGTTTGGTCATGACGTAGAATAAGAAGTCATTTTTGACTCCCATGATCCGAAGCACTCTCATTAATTAAGGCGGACCAGAGCCGAATTTAGGGGGTTGCCACATGGGCCGCGCAATTTTTTTAAAAATTTCATTTAAAAAAATTTTGCAATTTTTTTTTAAATGTAGGGATAAAAAAATGGGATTTAGAAAAAAAATTACAAACCAGAAAAGGCGAAAAAATATATCATTTTCTGAGAGCATAG